GGGGGGGGGGGAATTTGGCCTATTCCCATATGCCCGCCCTAATGTTATCAGGCGCTTCTCGTTTCTGCCGCATCGCCCAAACTATTCCTCTTGTTGCGGATATTGCGATCTGTAACGCTTTAGCGCGTGCCTTATACCCCATGAGCGATCTGAGTTGTTTCGCGATAGAACGGCCCGCTTCTCAACACCAAAACAAATGCTGCGCCTCCGCTGGTAAGGCAACTTTGAAAGAATGATGCTCATAGATAGACGCAAGAGGCCGCCTCCGAAAAAACTGCAGAGATATACTCCAAGAGTTGAGAAAATGCTGCATCTACATCTTAAGGGTGCTCCGAAATTTTTTGCCACGGCCACGCGATCCACCAGCGCCGTGACCCACCCAGTTTCTCTTTTGTAGCCGAAAAGGGAATGGCTCACACTCCGCCTTTCTTGGATGAAGCATCTTGTATGGTTCCAGCCTCCCAAAGAAATTTGGGCATCTGCTATATGTATCCCGGGTGTGCTTTCCGTCCCTTTTTTTTTACGCGGGCGACGCGATACGAGACCCCAAATGTATTGGAGTCGTGCGCACAATATTGGATTTAACCGTTCTATCAAGAGCGGGATGTTCACAGCAGTAGCACCTACATGCTATAATGGGATGGTCGCCCCATCCTATAAATTAACAGCCCATGTTGCGTGAACGGGGCATGTTTTATTAGTTCCATTCCCAGGCGGTGACATTTCCTCTGTCAATATCCAAGTTTCCTGTCTCCACCTCTGTGTATGTGCCCCGCCAAAGCCACATAGTGTGACATCTTCTTCGATAACACCGCGTGCCTCTCTAAGCGACGAAGTGCATTTTGTGGAAGATCAAATGGGCCGGTGTGCTTTGCTGTTTGCGGTATCGCATGTGGGTCCGGGTTTTGGCACCTCCACCAAATACGCTGCGTGTGCCGGTCGCTCCCCGTTTTATGAAGCGGACCCTTGCGTTCAACGTTTGCCGTCCTCAGTGTGGTCCGGGATTTTTTTGGGGCCTTCACGTTGGGAGGCGTCGGGTCAGGTCAAAGGCGTCTTGACCCTGGATTTGTAGGCGTCTCGTTGCCCAATAAGGTTGGGTATTTGGAGCCTCTGCCAAGTCGAGCATCAATGTGTCATCCATTCCAATGTTAAAGTGTTTCCTCGTAAATGCCCTAATCCATGGGCCATCGACTGGCCGTGAACCACGCTAGACGAAAGACAGCTCCCTCCTTCCAATTCATTTCCGCGACGGATCACTAGATCCATCTCCTCCTTCCAATAAAAGTCTCACCAACTCTATCCGGCTGCTGGCGGCAAAATTTTTTTGACGTCCCCAGAAATTATCATATCCGAGAAACAAAAACAGCAAAATATATATAATAATCCGCAGTAAAGCTGCTGTTGTCGCAGCACCGTGGCGCAGTGGAAGCGCGATGGGCTCATAACCCATAGGTCGTTGGATCGAAACCAACCGGTGCTAACGTTTTTGACAACCACCGACTCACCCCACACATTTTTGCTTGAGTGTCTTCCAAACCATTATATCGTAAAGATATCATGTTGTGCATAGTCTTTTAAACTCTCAAACAGTTTTTACCAACTATGAAGTAAGTTGCAAATGTGGCGAGATGGTCGAGTGGTCTAAGACGTTGGATTAAGGTTCCAATCCTTCCGAGGGCGTGGGTTCAAACCCCACTCTCGTCAGTTTTTCATCGCAGATGATCCTCACAAACGCGCCTTCTGTTGGCTTTGTCATTCTTTTCCTCTATGCCGGTGTCTCCCTGTCTCAGGAGTGGTGCACGGCGGCGCCATCACGGAAGGTAGCAGAGGTATACGTAGGGTGTCAACGGGTCCGCATATTCCGCGGTTTCTTTATGGGTAGATGCAGCTCGGGGCGGCGACGGCGCTGAGCCGCGAAGCACTTCGCGACACCATGCAGCGTCTGTTTCCACCAGCTCGCACGCACGGAAACAGCCGTGCCGCCGCTTCACCACGTATGGCAGCGAAGTGGGTCGGCGAGAATTCTCCTCACGCCATCTCTGATGGGTGGCCCCACGCGCTGTTGTTAGTGGAGCTGTCGAGGATGTGCGTGTCGCCCACAATGCGGGCTGCAGAGGAACACACGACGGTCGCTTCGCAGAGTTTTTCCTCTTCGTCCATGACCAGCACAGGGAGCAGCACAATCCTGGAGAAGGAAACCATTGTATACCTCTTGAACCATTGTCGGTTCCCGGTTGACTGTTGGTGGGTCTCACTCAGACTTCTGGGCCGCTGGCGACAGCTGAACCGTGAGCAAGATCCGGCCAGGACATCTGAAGTGGGCCCAAACGTGTTTCCCCCTGGTATATCGATTGCGTCCACTGCGCATTTGATGCGAAACCTTTCTTACTGCAATGCCGCATGGGCTGACGTTCTACGTCTTTACGTGACGGCTACGTGTGATGCAACAACTGTCACTGAAACGCGTGATGCACCTTCCAATTCTGAACAGGCGAATCGACGAGAAGTCGCTAGTCGTGGGGCACTTCGTTGGATGCGGCATATAGCGCTGACGTCACTTCTGCGTGCGGGGCAGTGGAGGGAGTCCCTACATTTCTACCGTCACATGCTTTATCAGCGCGAAACACCTAGCCACGTGTGCACGGGGCATTTAGTGCAACGCCTAGGAGAGGTTGGCTGTTGGACAGCGGTGGCGTGTGTCTTTCAGCTTAACCTTAGACTGTTGGAGGCATCCCACACTAGAGATATATCTGGTGCTGGCAAGAATAAGTCTACTGTGTCGTCGTCTTCTTCTTCGCAGCATGCGTTGTTGCCAACAGCCGCACAGACAAAGAGTGATGATTGGGGCACAATGTTCTCCATGGCATTGGATGCGGTAAGTCGTCATTGTCAGCAGCCCCGTGTTGCTCTGCAGATGTTTGACGAGGCGTGTAAGAGGAACGCAGACGGCTCGTTGTTTTCTTGGGATGGAAATTTTCTCTCAGCCGTCCAGGCGCTGCCGTCAGAGCGGGATCGGCTTGCAGTGCTCCGTCGTGCTAAAGCTGCAGGCCAATTGAACTACTTCAAACTTGTCCGCGGACTTGTACATCACGAGAAGTGGTTAGAAGCCATTGCCGTCTTTGCTGAAGGTCTCGCAACGCAGCAGCTTGGCAGGAAGGAAATTGGCCGCTGCCGACTGGGTATCCTCCACGCCAGTAGCGGCGACAACGTGCAGGCAGTGGTGTGCCGTCTGCAGAGCCTTTGCGGACGCCCGAGAGACTCCCTGCACCTCAACGATGCGGAGGTGGAGTGTGTGCTATCCAAGGTGCCCTCTGCATCTTTGTCGGCGGCCGCCGCTGCGCCTCATTCCGCAGCGCACTGGCGTTTCTGCCTGCAGATACTCTCTGAGAACTACGCCTCTCTTTCCCACAACGAGGGCAGTGGGGTATCACACAAGAGATATGAACGATGCCCCACAACGCGTATGTTGTCGCTTTTACTTCGCAATCCCATACCATGGCACGGGGCTCTGCGTCTACTTGCTGTGTCCCGCACGCTGGACAGGTATGAAGATGGTAGTGATACAGCTGCAGAGTGCCCCACATTGAGCAAGGCCCTTATGCTTAACCATGTTGTTGAGATTCTGCATGCCCAGGGGCAGCAGCAGCGGGCGGCGGATGTTGTGACTACAGCACTGCGTCAGCAAAAATTGTCACCGTCTGCTAAAATGCTCGAGTTTGTACCGCTTGAGCTTCTCTCGCCCAGTACGGTTGGCAAAGATCGAAATGTTTTGATGGTTAGTGACAAGGTGCTGTTTTACTTTGTACAGACGACGGAGAATTGGCAACGAGCCCTGTCGATTGTGCGGCTTGTTGAGTGCCAACGTGCTACCATGGGAATCGGTGCAGTTGACCCCCTTCGGGCACTGCCCGCCTCTGTTCACTGCGGAGCCTTAAGGATGATTCAGCGCTGTGCTGCCCGCAGTGAAGCGTGGGCAATCTCCCTCCTCTACTTCCAACATGTGGTGTCGGGGTATCACCTGCTGGATGGCCCTCCACAGTCTGGCCTTAATCCACAGCAGCAGCAACATGATAGGAATATGGATGGTGTGGTGTATTCCATCATGTACGAGATGCTGCTGAATCTTCTCTCAGGGCCACCTGGCATTTCTGGTCTTTTGAGAGGGAAGGCGCACCTTCGCCTCGTGGAGAGTGTTGTGGCACGTAGTGGGGGACGCGTTCCAACCCACATGCTGCTCCCCAATCAGATGGACCGCCTCCTTCCTCGTTTCTCCTCCGCGTCTGCCAACTTGCCGAACATGGAGGAGAGGACGCGGGTGAGTATCAAACTCGTGCGGTGCATTATTGCCTCGTTATCGGCGCCTTCGGGTGGCAAGGCAGACGCGGGCACAAGTCTGACTCCACCTGAGGCAGTCATGTTCCACGAGCTGCAGAAGTTGACGTGCCGTGTTGCTGAATATCGTCGTCACATACAGCAACTGCGTGAAGAAAACGACTTTTCATCGGGGTGTGGGATTGTCGACGCGACAGGAATCCGGCGAAAAGGGGCTCAACCACGCGCTTTGGATGCCGGATTGCTTTGGCAGACTTCACTCGAACTGCTGGAACTTCAGTGCCGCTTCTGTGGCACGCGCACAATATCACATGGCACACTGAAACTTGTGTACCATACGTGTGCCATGTCCGGTGGACAGTGGAGGGCTGCTCTTCTCGCCACAGAGTACCTCCTGCAGCGGAAGAAGGTGGAGGAGAGGGCAGTTAGTGCAGACCACTGCTCGCTGTACTGTTCTCTCTTCGGGTGGGAGAAGGCGCTGGCGGTGTGGTGCCGCCATTTCCCGCAGCGCATGCTGAGCGAGGTGTCAGGCTGTCCTGCTGGAGTGGAATATTGTCTGAACTCGAGGGAGTTGTAGCTCGGGAGGCGGAGAGGGTGTCACGCAGCAAGCGAGGGAAGGATAATGGGGACAGGCTTCGGCGTGACGATTCGATGAGGTTGTGCAAAGAAGAATCATAGTGGTGGTGTGTTCTTTTTCATTCCTGTCTTGCATTGTTTTCCTTAGTTTGGATTACGTATCATGTGGGGTGAAATCTCCGACTCTGACGATGGAACGTCGTCATCTTCCTCTAGTTGCAACGCTGACCCGGTGGTGAACGAGAGCGTCATGATGTCGCTTAGTGTACTTTGTGCATTGTCTGCCGTCTTGATGGTGACCTACATGCTGCTGTATTGGCTGCAGTACCGTGTTCCCGCCTCATCGCGTAGATCGACGATTGTGCTGCCGTATACAGTCCTCCGCGTCATCACGAATATCGCACTGTGGAACATTCTCCCGTGCTTGATAATCCCCTTCGCACTGTACGCTTTGCCAGAGCACATTGTGCCATTCGCAAGAGAGGCGGCGCGTCTCGTTATTTCCATTGTCCCAATCCCAGCTGTTATCGTTATCATTCAAATTGGCGCTATAATACTGCTGTACAGCAGCACACGTGTTGTTCGCCATATAGGCGACTTGGTCAACCCGGTATCGCCTGCCGACACGTCAGACTCACCACTGCGACGCACGCTGCACCTCGGCGTCTTCGCCCATGGCGCGCTTTTCATTGACGCCCTACAGAAGAAGCAGCGCGGTGAACTCGGCGCAGATATGGTGCTGGCGGTGGACATGAGCGTTGGGGGGAAGATGCGCCGTCTGCTCCTCCACAACATCGTTGCTGAGACGCACTGCACCCGCGAGGAGGCTGTGCGTCTTGTGACAAGCGTCTCGCTAAGCCGTCACGAGCACTTCTGTTTGCCCTTTCCATCTGGCTACTTTGATCGCATTGTGTTGGAGCCTTTTATGCGGCACAACCGTCCCATTAACAACCTCATCACAACGGAAAAACGAATGGCGCGGCGTATGTCGGCGGTGCTCTCAGAGGCACGTCGTGTGTTAGCTGTTGGCGGCGTCCTTGACGCCTTTGACACTGAGGACTCGTCGCTGTTCGTGCAGGCAGACTTCCGTGATGCGGGATTCGTGTCGGCGAGCCGAACAGACACCGGTAGGCGACTGGCGGTGGGCCCTGTGCGTCTGAGTTCCAAGTGCTACGTAGTTTCAGCCACCAAGCAGGTGGATTTAATCGATGCTGGTGATCGAGGTAGAGGGCAGTTTCCAGTCTTGGAGGAGCCTGCTTCCTCAGCGAAGAGCGATGCATGTGAAGCCGCACTGCCTTTGCTTGATGACGTCTACAAGGAAGGATCCACCGTACCTCCTCCCAAAGGCTTTCGACTCCTGGGCCGATACACGATACTCGTTGCAATTCAATTGTTGATTGCTTTAGCGGTGCTGGTGTCCGCGTTGGCGCTGTTCCCTCACCTGCGGTACCCGCGCAGCGTTCCGGATGACGAAAAGTTCATGATGGTTGGGCTCTCTTGGGCTGTGCAGTATATCAGCTTGGCGGTGGTGCATCGGGAGGCACACTGGCACTCCCGTTTGCTGTACCCCACGGTTGGACAGCTGCTGCGCTCCCTGATGCCAGTTGAGGTCGCCATTGCTATTTGGACTTTGCTTGCTTCCATGTGTATCATTCTCCCGAGGACATTATTGATGTATCTCTTTAACCGTTTAGGAGTGGAAGTGCCCCCTTCTGTTGTCACTGTTCTCTTTTTTGTAGTAGTGTCAGCACTCCTAATACTTCTGTTTAGGGCTCTTGCTCGCTGGGCGAGGTCTCGCGCCCTGGCTGTGCGTCGTATCGAGCTACAATGAGAAGAAAAAAAGGAAGACAATATTCGTTTTCGTACTGTGTCTTGATCGTGTGAGTTGCTAGACCCCTTCCTCCTCTGCCTCCTCCTAACTCTGTGGTTGGCCGCCCTTTCTGTTCTTGCTGGCTCAGCCTTCATGCCATTGTTTCCCCGCCCCTTCATTCTCTTTTTTTTTCGTCGGTATTCGGTTAGTGAAGTGCGGTAAGTACCTCGAGCTGCGCAACCGACACAAGAACGGACTAACGTGCCCAAGCGCGGGGAATACGTCATGTGGCGCCCGCGTGTGCTTCTGGTCGCTGCTCTCGTGGTCCACTGCGAAGTGGTGGCCGGTGCTCTGCTTCCCCCCCGCATGGAAGGTGAGGCCGGGTATGTGGGCGAAGCAAGGCCAACGCCCACGCTGAGGCTAGCTGATACCATAACACAAACCAGGACGTTGTCGCGTAGTGTGTCAATTCCCAGCGATACTCCTGAAGTAGACCCGAAGCCGCATATTCACCACATCCTAATTTTCGTGGTTTTGGGAACCTGTCTCTTATTTGTTTTTGTGTTTGGAGGGATATTATGTTACTGTTTCTGTTTGCGACCGAAAAATGGCCGAAGGCGCCAACAGGACGGCAACAATGACGAGGCCCAGCGGCTGTCACCAGGCGGCAGTTTCCTCTTTTCCCCGCAAACGGACCTCCGTGTGTGTGAGGGAGGAGACGAAGGTGCTTGCAACCCTATGGCAAGCAAGGACTCGCCCACAGAAAAGGGAGACGATGAGTTACCGAGCGAACGCTTTCTGTGGCATTCACGTAAGGGAAGTATCAGAAAGCATCAAGAAAACGGCATGGATTTGGATGAGGCCACACGGTTTCACCTGATGCACCACGCGGAGACAGCGGATCCTGGGTTTGGGCCATTTGTAAATGACACTGACAGTGATCTGTCGTCCGACGAGTGAGCGGACAGAGTCATTGTGAGGCAATCTGCACCTGGTGCGATTGTGTATGACAGCAGTCGTCAGGACGCGGACCCGGTGCTGGCACAGGACACACAGACCTCTCCGCCACTGAGCGTTATTAGAACGGATACAGGCATTGACTGCTTCGGGGAAAGAGCCGAGTAGTGACACTTCCTCCGACGATAGTACGATTGGGGAGGGGCGGTGAAGTGCCCACCACCCCGATATGTGGGTAAGTTGTGACCGCGAGTATCTGAGCAATAATAACGCTGGTGGGCCTGTAGAAGAAATCCGTCTGGTGTGTGTGTGTGTGTGAGTGTGTGTAGGACGGCATGTCATCGCTTCTAGGTGACTGTGGTAGCGGCTCCCCCGAAAGTGAACCAACGGCAAATGCCCCTTAAAACTGGGTAGGCTATTGTGGAGGATTCCGGAAGGCCGTGTACGTGGTTTCACATAGAAGAGATGTGTAATCTATAGGAATTAACTTGTTTTGTGTCATTTTCGCTCCTTGCTATAAAACCACTGAAACAGTAAAAGTGCCGTGCTCCCGTGGTTTTGTATTCGGTGCAGGTAGTCTCGCCTGGGTGGAATAGCGCTTGGGTCGGACAGAAGCGCTTTCTCCCTCCTCCCCCCCTTCCCCCGTGGCTCGAGACTGCCGCTTCTTTTCTTTACCCTCGTGACTGTATGCCCATGTCGTTGGGCGCGCATAACTCTACTTCCCCTCTGATATTCTCCTAGATATCTGTGCCTGTTTGCGTGTGCATGCATACATAATATATGCGTGTGTGCTCTTGTGTGGCCGTGCGTTTTTTTTTTTGGGGGGGTCAAAATGGAGTTGCGCGGTGCTGCGTCGCAACAGGCTTGACGAAATTATGGCGCCATATCAGAGAAGTTGCTATGTCTTTCAATATATATATATATATATATATATATATGTAGAGCATCCGCAATTTTGCACGGCCAAGAACGTGATTGTGGGAAGAGAAAAAGGCCTGCAAAGGGACGTTATGTGGTTTTGGAGAAGTGTCCCGTTTTTGTTTTTGTTTCTTTGTTTGTTTGCTGGCGTACTTTTGTGGATAATGATGTGTCATATTTGTTATCGTGTCGTGGCGCAGCGGAGTGGAAACAACAAACACTCCAACGCATAAAACAATAATTGAGAGCCTAAATTCGATTTCTTTGTTGGCAACACTCCTCCTGTCCATGCCTGCTCCGCCCACCGCACCCCCTTTTCCTGCAGCTGCCCCACTCCTCTCCCCACTGTCCCTTCTGGCACACATTGCAGGGTCGCGCTGCTGGAGCTGAGGCGCCTGCGCGGCATCCGCCACTCGCGCTTTGACTCCTGCCTCTACGCATTCCTTGAAGGCAAGGCATTCAGCATACTGGAGACGATGGCGATGCTCGAGCGGTGGGCGGCGATGCAGCGGGAGGAGCTCGGCATGCATCAGACCACCAGCAGCTTCCACGAGGGGCTCGCGCGCGGTATCATTTGGATCACCGGCCGCGGCAGGCGCCGGCGCGTGGGTCTGTGCGCTCACACCGCGCGTTTACTTGCCCGACGCGAAGATGCGTGCGCGGAGCACGCGGGTCTTCGACGGCAGCTTAAGTTACGCGACACGCCTACAGTACAACCGCAAGAACTGCCTCGTGGCCATGCTGGTGAATCAGCAGGGTGTGAACGTCATTCGCAACATTGACATGCCCTTTCAGGCCTCATCGAGTGGGTGCACATCGTGAACGTGCCCCGCGTTGTGGCGGCGGTGGCGGCGGCGGCGAATACCATTTCCCAGTGGCTGTCAAAGGTGGTCTTGGAGCGCATTCGCATTGCGTCAGACTCTTAGCTCAAACAAGGCAGGTGCTGCAGTGGTTCAACGCCGAAGCTCTTCCTGTGGCGCTGGGCGGCGCAATGGACAGGGGCGGCCCCGCGCACTGGCGGGCCTTCGCCGACATCGCGGTGGCGCACTTCCATCAGCTGCAGGATGCCGTTATGCGACGTGGCATGAGCGTCAGAGAGAGGGAACTGGAGGGGCTGCATTGTGAATGGGTGAGCGAGGCAGAAGTCATTGTGGCAGCAGAAGCAACGACGAGAACAACAACACGAAGAACGCCGTTGGCTTGTCTAGGTGAGCCCAGTCCCACAGCGACGGACAGCATGTAGGCCGAGGTAAACCCGGTAAGACAGGACGCCGTGGGCTGTGAAGAGTACGCTGGGGAAGTGAGCAGCCTGTGCCTTTTCGCAGGTGCAGCAGCTGCTCGCTATGGCCGATGCGCACATGATCGCGTATGATGTGGTTGTGGAGGACGGGCTGTTGGTGCAGAGCTGTGCCTTTCAGCTCATGTGGGAGGCCCTCCAGCCGCCGCTGTGTCTGTGGAGTCGTGTGCAGCTGAAGCACCGACAGATCTGCGATCGCCTCCCAGAAGAGCAACGGTACAAGGTGTGTAGTGTAGGCCTCATTGCTCCTCTTCTTGTTGTGCTTACTTGATTTGTTGCTAGTCTATGCATGGCTGCGATGTGTTCATATGAGTTGGTTGGCTGGCACAGGCAGTGGGGGCCTTACCTCACTCACTCTTTGTGTGCGCTGCGGTTGGGTGTTTCTGCTGGTGTGGACTTCTTTCGAGGAGTGATTGGCTCTGTCGTGTGTGGCAGTGGTCCCTCGCCGGTGTGCGGAGCTCTCTCTTCCTTCCTTACTTCCTCTCTGCTCCTTTCTTCCTCATATATTTCAGGCATGCATCAACTGTTGCGTTGAACTCACCACCGACCTCTCCGGTTGTTGCTCCTCGATTGCTTCTCTTCTCTTTCGCCGGCTCCAAGGCAAAGTGATGTCCTCCTTAGGCTCTGGCTCCTGGGGCGTCACGCCTTCGCTCCAGAGGGACGATTCCTCGGGCAGCGTCTTTCACAACTCCTTCCCGGAATTGCTGGGGAACTCCGACGACGCACTCGCTGGGTACTTCCGTTCCACGCCGAGCGGCAAAACTCAGGCAAGCACGCCGCTCAGCGACCGTACGAATAGCGGAGGCTATGACGCTGTCGATAGGTGGGTCAATGCGCTCTTCTGCCCGGATGACCAACTCACAACGTTGCCACGTGAGGAGGAGCAGCAGGAGCAACCTGGGATCAGCACCGCAGTGAACCCGCTGTTAGACCCACACAACATGTGTCCGTGGCTCGGCGGGCCCGAGTCGACCACTGTGGAAGTCTACACGCACGGCACCGCCCGCAACAGCACCCCGGCGAGACCACTGCCCTTTCTGAGGGGTAACCCCGACGATGCAGACAGTTTTCTGTATCTCTTCTTCGACTCCCTCGCAAGCCCACAGCAGAATCAGCAACGACGGCAGTCGCAGCACAGCAAGCCGTCTTCCACTGTCGCCGCGCCGAACGGGGTAGTGAAGCGCAAAAAGACGGGCTGGGAGGGTCTCAATACGGAAACGAAGCAGGTGGAGTCTGTGAGCTTCCCCAAGGATACACGGAAGAGGGGATTCTCAACTTTCTCCAGCTACAAGTTTCCCACGGAACCGACTGAGAGTATCTCGCAGGACATTAGCAACGATGGTTATGGCGCGCAGTCCAAAGACGGGGCGCCGCAGAACCCGCACTCCATACTCGTGAACGGTGCGAGGGACGACAAGCGTGCCGGGGGTGCCGCTGAGAATGCGCCGTCCGTGAGGTTCCTGTAGCAACCGTGAAGACGGTGATGGTGGTGTTGATGCAAGCAACACTGGCAGTCAAACGCGTTAAGAAAAGTTCCTGTGACCACCTTTATCAGGTCTGCCGACGATTTTTCCTTTCTTTGTCCCCCCCCCGCCATCGTTGGTGGATTTGGCTTTTGCTCTTCGTCACAGTGAGCGAGATGAGGAGCCCTGTTGTACACGGTGTGCACGCAGAGCCCTCGCAGTTTACTATAGTGACAATTGCAATTGTGTGGCATTGTTCAACGACCGCAATGCGCACTTGTGCAGAGGCAGATGGTGCCCAGCGCTGTGGTTTTTCTTACCCCTTGTTTTCGTTCTATACACTGATTTACTTCAATGAAAGTTCTTGTAAAGGGAAAGGCGCAGCCGTCTTGGTGGCGGCGGCCAAATTACCGCTAACTACAAGAACTGTGGTGAGCTGTATTTCAATTACGTGTTCGTGACTGTTCGTTTGTTCTTCTCGCACTGATGATGCCAGACCGTCCTGGCGGAATGAGCACGGCAGCGTTGTGCCGTCTCTCCTCTGTCTCCCAGCGTATCTTTCTTGTTGCTGTTTTGCTTATTCGCCCTCAATGTTGTGTGGTAGTGCATCCTTTGCGGAAGGGATACATGGCATTGCCTCCATGGAATGAGCCCAGCCCCACCCTGAGTGAAACATACATTGCGGTGTCGAGCAGCGCCAATATTTTGGAGGGAAGGCTGTGGTGGATCATGCTGGCAAGCATAGCAGGCGTGGCCTTGCTAGTGCTGCTCGTGGTTAGCGTGTGCGTCTACTGCAACACCAGGCGGAAGATGCGCAGTCTGGAGCAGTTGGAGCTTCGGCAGCAGCGGCGAGTGGAGCGCGACGTGCGAAGGGCCTCCTTAGTGCTTCAGGGCCATCACGTACACACCGACGTGGAGTGCAATGAGGACGAGGACGAGGCGTACAACCTCCCGGTTAGTCCTGCGTTTTCCATGGAGTTGAGTGAGGAATATGCATATGACTGTGACGTTGACGTCCGAGAGTAAGACACGTCGCAGTGCTCGAAGCAAATGCATGATGAGTTTCTTTTTCTTGTTTTGGTGGGGGGTGGGAACTGTGGCTTTGTACAGTCTCCGTTATTGTAGAAGCAGGCGTTACAGTTTACATGTGCCCTGTCACGTTTTGGTGTTGTTTTTTTTTTTTGTTCGCTGTCTCGCTGGATATATACGTGCAGGCGTACATGGTGGGGTGGCTTCTGCCGTAAGATGTGCTTATTGTGTATGACGTGCTTCCTTTTTCGTATCGGAATCTAATTAACGTATGCTCGGTTCGACGTTTATGAGACGAAAACCGCTGCAAATGTATTCTCCTCCAATACGCTCCCCACCTCTATGTCTTTTTTTTTTAATCTCTCTCGACGCCCCTCTTGTGTCTGCGTAATGCCGTTGTCTGCGTGTGCATCCGTGCTGCTGCTGCTGCATGCGTGGCGTGAGGACGTGTGCCGCCCCAGCCACTCACCCACCCGCCAGTGCCCTTTCTCTCTCTCTCTCTCTCCCCCTCTACTTCTCCAGGACTGCGGCGCAGGCAAAAGTGTCTGGCGCGCACACACGCGCACGAGGCGGCAGCAGTAGGAGGGGCGGAGGGAAGATGAGCGCGGGTCCTTTGAACGATGGCATCGTGCCGCGCGATGCGTCCGCGCGCTCCTTTTCACGCTCTTCCTCCAGGGCGCTGTCGTCCAAGTCGAGCAGCATCCTTCTGGCCGCGAACTCCTCACCCCTGGGCCGGCGGTTTGCGGGCATGTCCGGCAACGGCTCACCGATACGCGGTAGGCGCACGCCTGTGTGCTTCTTCTCCGATAGCGACGTCGGGCTCTGCGGCTCTCCCGTCGACGAGCAGCAAGAAGAGTTCCGGCGCATCGAGGAGTTGCTGCAGCGTATGCGTGGCGGGAAGAACGACGCCAGCCGCACGGCGCCCGCGCCGTTCCAAGAAGTGACGTAGCACGGCACGCACCGGAGTGACTGACGTATGTAGACTCAACTCACGGACGGTGTCAGCCGCATTCACGTTGGTTGTTTTTCTTTACCTTCGGGCTTCGTTGGACCCGTTCCTCTCTTGTCATTTGTTGTCTGTAGGGCTTTATTTTTGCATCTCCTTCGTGTCTCCTCTGGGGCGCAGCTGGAGTGATGGTGGGAGGGAGGGGGACCTCCAAAATCTCCCAGCCAGCGCGCAATATTTGCGGTTATATATATATACCTATATTATAGGCGGATTCATGCGAAGATTCCTCCATGAATTGTTTCCGCAGTATTTCTTTGTTGCTGTTGTTTTTTCCACCCTCACGAATTCTATAGAGATGCCGGCAGTTGGTGGCAAATAACGTGTACCACATATTCCTTCACCTGTGCATGCTCTCGGCATATCTAGGCGGTCTGTTTCAGCGCCGCCCATTCGTTGTGCCCACCCATCACCCCCTCCCCCCTCCCTTGGCGCTGTGCCGGTTGGTGTGGCTGTTGTCGCTGCTGCTCGATGCAACGGCATTCCTATTCTTTTCCCCACCATTTGCCTGTACGTGTCTCTTTCTCTGTCTTTCTGTATGTGTGCGTGTGTGGGGGGGGGGAAGGCAAATAAGTGAGAAGAAGCACTCGCGCGGCTTAAGCGAACATACTGCACGGAGTACCCCGCTACATTGCGTGCCCGCGCAACCCCTGGCAGCAGCATGGGCTCCGCCGCTCCACGTGGCGACCAGCACAGTGATGCCGCTCTCTCTGGCGCTGATTCCTCCAGTGGCGCAGCGAGTTCGGTGCGGCCGCACACACACAGTGCCTCCCCGGCGTGGCGGCGTATGACGGATGTAGAGCTGGTCTTCACCGGCGCGGAGGATCGCAATTCCCCGAAGGCCAACACGCCCGCGCAGTTGAGCGTCGCCAACACCTCCAGGTCTCTCGCTGGTGATGACGGCAGTTCTCAGGTGGACAAGATAGCCTCTATGTATGACCATGGGGTAGCAGCAGTAAGAGAGGAGGAGGAGGAATTCGAGGAGACGAACCAGCAGCAGAGCCTCTCCAACCAAAAGCCGTGCCAACGCCAATTCCGCACGCGTGATATGCTGAGCTTCTCGGAGGATGACAACGGCACGTCAAGCACCATCTCTCGGCTGCTCGACGCCGATGCCAACGTCAACCTCATTTTCCCAATGCTTGACGAGTGCACGGCTACCGCAGTACACCGCAGGGGTTCCTGTGCCCCGGTGACGGAGTCGGGCTGTGCGGTCCCGAAATTCGCGCACAACCGACAGGCGTCCCCGTTAAGCATCTTGCTCAAAGGCGGCTCGGGTGCGAACCCCACGTTTCCGGCTGGCCGACGCCTGAGCCGCCGACGCAGCAGCGGAGTTGCCAATGTTGTAGGTGAGGCATCTCGTGACTGGGAGGTGAGCGCCGTCTTTTCGCCGCTGGGGCTGGTGGAGGGATTGTCGGAGATGGTGAGCATCACAGAAGACTCAGAGGAATGTGAGCGAGGGGAACTGCAGCGTATTGCGGCGCTTATTAAAACCATGGAGGCACGTCGGCAGTTGTCGGAGAGCGCTTCACAAGGCGATGCTTAGTTGTCCGATGCCGCATGGGATGCGCACAGCAGCAGGCCAGAGCCACAAGGGGTTGGTGTGGAATGTCATGAGTATGGGGGAACTGTTCCGATATCTAGGAGAGAGCGCGAACAAACAGGAATAATTGCGTATGGGACGGTAGATATAAGTTGTCCCTCAATTTGCCACGCAGCATCTATGTCTATTCCGTCTTATTTCCGCCTTGGTGTTGTGTTTGTGGCTGGAAGGCATTGTCATCGACGTTCCACGGATGCTTGAGCGTGAGAACAGCGTTACAGAAGAATGATCTATATTTTAAATGGATGTCTGGGCCACCCGAGCTGGTGTGGGGCATCCGTTTTTTTTTTCTTTTTCCTTTTTATATGCTTCCTCCTTACCTTTTCCTTTCATTCTCTTATACACTGTGACTGATTTCTCACCCACAATGCGCCGCTCTCTCCCCCCCCCCCTTTGGCCGCAGAAAAGTCTGCGAAACAAAGCAGCACGGTGTGTGGTTCATTTATATTTATTACCGGTTCGCGGCAGGGTTATATATATATAAAATGCTTGGGGGTACTTATGTATACAGGTATATGCTATCAGGTGAATAGGCTGAGATGTTTTTGTTTTGTTTTTCGTATCGCTGGGCGCGGCCACTCGTGGTTGTGATGTGTGTGTGGGGTTGTGTGTCTCTGTGTGTGACTACCACCACGTTCTGTGCTCTGTCCCCAATTCCTCATTGAACGCACAGCAGTCAACCACTCTGCACAGTAGTAGCCGTGGGCTGCCCTCCCCCTCAAGTCAGCGTCTGAGGCGGAGTAGAGGGCCCCGGCACTACCAACAAGAAGAACAATAGCGGCCGAAGCAGGCAGTGCAGAGATGCTGCGGTACACTCTCGGCGTGTGGTGCGTGAAGCCTGCGCGGGTACGTTGGCACCCCCTCGGCGCGTCGCACTTCGACGTCTGCGTCATTGGCGCCGGGCCCGCCGGTATCGCCGCCACACTTCGCGCCGTCGACTACAAGAAGCGTGTGTGCCTCATTGAGGCGAGCCGAGTTGGCGGCTGCGACCTGTGGAACGGCGCGCTGCAGTCGAAGGTCATGTGGGAGATGTCGAACTTCTTGGTCAAGGCGAACGGCAGCGCTGCAATGCGTGTGTACAACACCACAATCTCGAACTTCATGGAGCTTGACGAGGAGCGGATGCGGGAGTGTCTCATCCGCAGCAGCGAGATGCGGGAGGCGCAGATCCTCGCGGCCCTGCGCGCGGCCGACGTGTCGCTCATGTACGGCCGCGCCTTCTTCGCGAGCTCGCACAAGGTAGAGGTGCGCAACCGCGAGACGAAGGAGTACCGCACGGTGACCGCCGACTACTTCATCATTGCCACTGGCTCCACGCCGATGAAGCACCCGTTCGTGCAGATCGACCAGAAGCGCGTCGTGACATCCGACGAGCTGATGATGATGCCGCTGCCGCGCAGCATGGTGGTGGTTGGCGCCGGCGTGCTGGGCAGCGAGTTCGCCGCCATTTACGCGCGGCTCGGCCGGACGAAGGTGTACCTGCTGGACAAGGCGGAGCGCATCATGCCGAAGGAGGACGACGACGTCGTGGCGGAGATACAGGGCAGCATGGAGGCGCACGGCGTGGTGATCCACCAGGACGCGATGCTGTACAACATGCAGTCGTGGGAAGAGGACGATGCAGAGATGCGCGAGCACCCGGAGGACCCGACGCGTCGCAGCGGCGTGCGCTACACCATCATGCAGCGCAAAACGCGCGAGCTGCAGACGTACGAGGTGGAGCGGGCCCTCATCGCGGTCGGGCGCCACCCAAACTACTACGGGCTCGGGCTGCAGAACACACAGTGTACGCTGCGCAACGGGACGCTCGTACTCGACGCGTACGGCAGGTGCATGGGGCAGAGCCACATCTACGCCGTCGGCGACGCGGCTGACGACTCCAAGCTGGTGAGCGTCGGTGAGGCGAAAGGGCGGCTCGCGGTGGACCACATGTTCAGCCTGCAGCTGGTCGAGCCGCCGTCGACAAGCTTCACGCGGCTCGTCTTCCTCACCGTCGCCCTCGCCGGGGTCGGTATGAACGAGCAGGAGTGCCGCAAGCAGCGGGTATCGTACGTGATGGCAAAGTACGGCTTCGATCTTTGCAGCCGCACCATCGCCGCCGACTGCACCGCGGGCTTCGTGAAGATCCTTGCCACCAACGACAGTAGGAAGACCTTGCTAGGGGTGCGGGTGGTGGGCATGAACGCAAGCACCATCATCGAGCTCGCCTCCGCCGCCATTCGGCGCAAGCAGACGGCGTACGAGCTGTGTGAGCTGCTCACGGCATACCCCTCCGTCTCGCAGGCGTTCCTCGAGTGCCTGCGCGTCATCCTCGGCTGTTCGACGCTGAAGCCCGGCACATTCCCCAACCTCGTGTGCGAGACGTGGACGCCGTCGGATTACGTGCGAGGCCGCGCCCATGTTGAACACGCACCACCAGCAGCAGTAGCAGCAGCAGCAGCAGCCGCACACGAAGAGGGGGATGCGCAGGCAACGACGCAGACTTACCGGGAGCATTTCCCACACACGTTGACGGAGGGGCGGCACGAGGCAAAGGCAGACACTTCGGCTTCCCTTTCTCATCCCTCCTCCTCCTCTTCCTCCTCCTCAGTTGCTTCTTCGCCTTCGTCGTCTGGCCGGACGGCTTCCGCTTCATCTTGTAAGGACCCCCTTCCCGGGGCGTTTTTCTTCCATTGATGTCACGCTGCAGCAGTGGCGAGCCTGTGAGAGAGTGAGTGAGTGGAATGGAAGTGAAGCGTGGAAAATGTAGTCTTCTTGCATGAATATATGAGTGTGTGCCGTGCGCTGTGCGTAGATGGGCGCGTGTGCGATGCCGTCGACCATCATCGCCATACTCACCTGTGCTTTTGCATGCACCCCTTCCCTAATTAGTCGGCAGTGGGCGAGGTTAGACAAATCAAGTGACGCGGGCCCCTTTTTGTTCCTTTTTTTCCTTGTTGTTGTTTTTGCAGCTGAGCGATGCTGCGAATCCCGCGGGTGTGGCGCAACCGCCCCGTCAACGTGACGCGCATCGTCGCCAAACAGTCGCACTTCGATCTGTGCGTCATTGGCGGCGGGCCGGCCGGCATTGCGGCCGCGCTGCGGGCGGTCGACTACAACAAGCGCGTGTGTCTCGTTGAGGCGAACCGCATCGGCGGCACGGACGTGTGGAATGGTACGCTGCAGTCCAAGACGCTGTGGGAGATGGCAAAGTACGCCTCACGGCTCTCTGGCAACGCGGCTCGGCGCGTCTTCGAGGACGACGTGGTGGCGGGGCTGCAGAGCAAAGTTAGCGACGCGCGGGTACTGAGGACGCTGCAGGAAGTCAGCGCGACGCGCGAGCGGCAGCTGCTGGAGGTCCTCCGTGCCGCCGGGGTGCAGCTGGTGCTCGGCAGGGGCATGTTCTCGTCGCCGTACGAGCTGGACGTGCGCAGCAGCGGCACCGGCGAGTACAACGTGCTGACGGCGGACTACTTCGTCATCGCGACCGGCTCGACGCCGCGCACGCACCCGCACGTCGTGACGGACTGCCACCGCGTGGTGACGACCGACACCATCAT